CATCTAAGATGGGACCTATGATTTGAACAAGCCCTTATAGTTTGACCACAAAAGATCCGAAATAAGATATGCTATTTCACTTCTAAACGACACTTCTATTTAGTCATTTTTAAACTTTTTAACGAAGGTTGCTTTGTGCGGCTGTCTACAAAACGGCACTCGACGAAAATATATACCACATTTACGCCAAAAGACACGTATGTAAGATACCCCAAGTATAGCACATTTAGAACGAAGCGATCAAATTAAAGTCGACATTAAACTAATAATCATCCACCTACACTGAGTGGGTAATTCCATGTCCAGTTAACGGGGTGCGCGATAGACTTACCTCCACGTGGTGCACCCTGGCCAACGTATGCTCATACAGCAAAAGTCTATTAATCGGCAGTTGACTTCTCACTTCTAACTACCAACACCCCATTGTATGTCACATTCTACCACTTCCACAGTACTCACCTCACCTTTTCTCTGCCTTTGTGTCTGTCTATTTTACACCTTTGAAACGTTCTTCTCTTCCTCCTCCCCCCCCCCTCTCGACTTTTTGTCACTCCTCTGTGAAGCCTGAAGTCAGCTAAAGGGCTAATGATAGCTATCATAACGCCTGCCATTTGATATAAATAAATGTCCAGTTAATAGGGCTCAAGTAATTTGATGTGTCTTATCAACAAGCTGTCAAAAAAACAAAGGAGTGGTAATATCCAACATGCATCGTAACTTACTGAACTGACAGCTGTCTCCGCCATAGCCGTCGAAGCACATACATTCTCCAGTTACACACCTCCCATGACCAGAACATGTTGGATCTTGGCATTCGGACCAGAGAGTCTCGCATTCGAGTCCTTTCCACTCGGGGAAACAATGACACTTGCCTTGACGATATTCACCGTGTCCACTGCAGATTGGTACATTATCAACTAGGGAGGGCAGGAAAGGAAATCGCATTGAGATTGCAGTAAGATAACAAAAAATACAACCAATCAGAGTTTTAATAACAGAATGTATAGTGTGGGACAACAATAACTATGCAATAAAAGATGAAGATCTGGGCCCATGTAATTTATAAATAGGTCTCATTCATATGCGGAAACTTGGAAAAAAAACATCTAGAATTTAAATTAAATTTTCAAGATGTTTGATATCTTAAAATAGGGAGAAGAATTGATAAATCAGGAATTAGTGACCCAATTTCCATCGTCCCCCCCCCCCCTCCCCTCCCCTCCTCGAAAAATCTGAAAATGATTACTTTCCCATGTCGTCAAATCTATCACTTTTACCTAACTAAACTGTTGAATTTGATTCAATATGACAAGGTATAAACAGACCAAAACGTGTTCTCACAGGATAATTAGGGCCTTTGTGTTGACCACCTATGACCTCAAAGATGGGGTGTGCGACAGACTTGCCTTCACGTGGTGTACCCTGGGCAATGCATACTCATACTCGGCAAAAAGGCTATTAACAAGCAGTTGACTTCTCACTTCGAACTACAATGACCCCATTGTATGTCATATTCGACCACTTTCACAGTATTCACCCCACCTTTTTTTCGACCTTTGTGTCTGCCTCTTTTACTGCCTTGAAACACTCCTCTGCTCCCCCTCTCGACTATTTTTCACTTTGATGTTCCTTCCCCTCTGTGAAGCCCGAAGTCAGCTAAAGGGCTAATGATGAATATCAAAAGGCCTGTCGTCATTTGAAATAAATAAATGGCCTCAAAGATAGACAAGTTTCATTGACGTACTTGCTCCTATTAAGAAAAAAATTTTCCCAACCAATTTTGCCCAAATTTTCCTCCAAAGGCTCAAACAAACATTAAGAGAAAACTTGCAACCAATTAAATAATTTTATGTTAATGACCATGGTGCTAAAGTTCTGCTGGTTAGGGATTAATAAAATTTATTTTTACTTGTAAATCCACAAATTCTGAACTCTCATTGCGTCAAATGCTTGAATATGCTTGTAATTAACCAAGGCGTCTTCTTCACAGTGTATGAAGAAGAAGCAGAAGAAGAAGAGGAGGAAGCCTCGTGCCTGAACTGCCTGATGCACCCAGCATTTTCCAGGTGGGCAAAAAGATCAAGCAGGCAAGCCAGCTAGCAAGCAAGCAAGCATAGAAGCGCACAACCAACGAAGCGATAATTTATCATTTGTGCACACCAAAAACCACTACTAACCGAAATTGCGTTGCCCCAAAGGAGGATAGGAAGGGCACGACGACTTTTATGGCATCTGCTGCAATGGGTTTGCAGCAAACAGAAGACAAAAAATTGCCCACCTATTGATTTGGGCATCCCTATTGAAGTAAAACGCACACTGGCCTGTTTGAGTATTTTTGGAAATGAGGTGAGTAAATTAATTAGGGAAAGGTGGTTATAAATTTGTAACGAATTTACCCCAAAATCACTACCCGCAACATCTATGAGAGAAGCTTGGAGAACAGTTACCCATCTAAATAGCATTAGAAAAAAACCCATACCAATCGAAAATGGAGACATTTCTGTTTCAAAGTTATAAGCGCTTTCAATAGCTAATAAACCAAGTAAAACCAGCCTTTTTGCAATGAACGATAACAAAAAAAACCAATCTCTTTTCATAAAAATTAAAGTCTTTTAACCTCAACTGTAAGTGAGGTTTTATACAAAACTTACTTCCCAAACGGTCAAATTCATCATCGATCAACTCAAATATTTGATGCAAACTTTAATCGATAATTCTTATCACATGTAATTACTGGTTTTAATGAAGGGCTCTTGACACTTGTGAATTAAATGAAAAAAGGAATTTATAATTGCTCAAGGCGAGAAAAAGAAACGAGCCGTCAACAGCGACAATTGACAGTTTAATTGCTGTGTGCATACTTCCTGTTAGCAAATTGGGGAAAAATTAACAAAGATCGAACAGACGAGACTTCAATTCCGCTTTCACTCCACCAAAATGCAATCTGAAGTTGCAGGAAGAGCAATTTCGCACATATCCACAAACTAGACGGAGGAGGAGAGTAAGAGGGAGAGAGAAGGAGTAGAAATGTCAGAATTCGGTTGGGCTAAGCAAAGGGGGAAAGTCGGAGATATATGTGTTCGGTTGTGGAGTGGAGTGGAGTGGAGGATACCAACTATCTACCAAAAATCTGCCTACCACACGAGGTCGTTGAATATGTGCATGAGCGTGTGCGTAGGACTTATCAGCGATGGCAATCAGT